ATAGTGCGAGCATACCCAGGATTCTCACAGCTAGCTTTCTTCCTCTTGTTTTGCCTTTTTCTTTTTCATATAATTCTTTCCCCATTTCTCTGGCTACTGCTTTTTCACGGCCCCTACAAGCTTGATGGACTCTTATTTCTTTTCTTTTTCCAGGATGCAGTATTACGTTGGGGCAAGTTTCAGGTAGGGCCCCCCCACAAACCTAAACCAGGGCTCTTGAATAACTGTCTGCGCCCCCAGTGAATCAAGTTGGGAAATTTTGGAACTAACACATACACTGGGCCATTACTACCTTTGACGACTATCCTGGGGCCAAGTCCACCTAGCAGCGTTGAGTTTCGTCAATGCCCGAATCTGGACGTGTTTGTCAACGAGTTTCCTCAACCCCACATCTCCACAAACATGTCCAGATTCGGGCGTTGAGGAAACTCAACGTGCTAATGGGACGTGGCCCCTGCTTACCAGAAGGCCTTCCCTTTTTTAGTTGCCCACTCAATTCACGATCCGGCAGCATACCTTGTAACAGGGTGGAAAAAGAGGGGGCCTCCATGAGACTGGTGGTTCGGGAATAGTAACTTAGAATACTGACCAGACTCATCATCATGTCCTGATAGCTTTCATAAATTTCTTTACATCATGTGGCATGTGATTGTGCTCTTTGCCTTTTTCTTTCCACCCCCCTCCAAAACTTCCAGTCCAGGGAGTTCCCCTTAATCCGCATAAACCACCAGTACTTGGCCCATACATCGGCATCATACTTGCAAGCGCACGTCGTGCGGGCGGTTCCCTACGTGCGGCGCACGCGCCCAACCGATCCCGTGCGGCGCACGACGTGTGCGGGGAACGACCCGTCACCCCCCTCAGAAAAAAAAAAGGCCAGGGTTGAAACAGTGCATTTGAGCCCCCCCGCCAAAATTATAAGCAAGATGAAAAAAAAAAATGCAGGAGTACTGCCTCACCTTGCTCCTCATCCTCCATGTCTCCTCCTCCCTTCTCCTCCTGCCCTTCCTCTTTTCCCTCCGTCCATCTCGTCTCCTCCTCGCCGTCCTCCTCGTCCACATCCCACTCCTCCTCTCCATATCCCCCTCTCCTCACCATATCCCCATCTTCCTGTCATGCGCCCCCCCGTTCCCCCTCCCAAAAAAAGATAAACTAATAATAATAAAAATAAAAAACCTGCACGATTCCGCACAGGCACCCCCCCCAACAGAACTCCGCACAGAACTCCGCACAGAACTCCGCACAAATGTGCGGTTCGTGCGGTTGCAAGTATGATTGGCATACATCGGCCGCGGGCCCTTGACGTTAAGCCACCAGTACTTGGCCCAGCTATAGGCCGCGGAAAAAAATAGAGTAGAAACATTTCTAGTCGGATGAATTTGGGCGCTCCTGTAGTAGCCCGTACGTTTCCTAAAATCGTGGCGCGTTAACGGCAGGAAGTACTGGTGGTTTAACGCACCGCATTAACTGGGCTTCAGGTCTACCGGACCACAATGGCTGGTACTGCCAGCCAAAAGAGAAAAAAAATGTGGAGCTGGTGGTTCGACAAAGCTTGGCGAGCAAGGCGTTTGGAGCCCTAAAAGAAAGTGGCCCGTAAGTACTAGTGGTTTAATGGGGATGCTCTTATTGTGCTCTGTGCCTTATGCAGCAGTCACTTTCATTCCTTGATAGGACCACAAGACCTCCAAACCCTCTCTCCCCTCTCTCTATGCAGCCCCTGTCCCTGCTCCACAACCCCAAAAAGTCCCTCCCTAGCCCCTCAGGCCCAGAAAGTATCAAAGCGCCTGCTAAAGGATTGGAGACAGCCAAATCCGGCTTCAGAATCTGCTATGTGTACAGTGCTACAACTCCTCTCCTGACCCTCCCAATCTCTATTTCTTGGCCTTCGGGACCATCTGGATCAGTGAGACAGCTGGGCCCATGCATGTCTGAAAAACCGGACAATCCAGCATGCACAGTGCGGAAGCTAGCAGTGAGGGACATTTTGTCCCATGAACCCAGGTCGTGAGGGTTTGTCGTCCCTAATGGGCCACCTCATATGGAGACCGGCTCTCCTGACCCTCCCAAGCCCTGTTTCTTCGCTTCTGGGCCCATCTGGATCAGTGGGACAGCTGGGCCCAGGCATGCCTGACCAACTGCCGGACAATCCAGCCTGGACAGTGCGGGGGCTAGCAGTCAGGGGCATTTTGTCCCATGACCCCAGGTCATGAGGGCTTGCCCTCCCTATTATGGCCACCTCATATGGCGACATGCTGCTTTTTTGCCCCCCTTAGAGTGATCCTACCGTCTTCACCTGAATAGAATGCCCAGCCATCATTGCTGTATCTACACAGAAACTCACACTAAATACAGCTATCATGACCTCGCATTCTATTCGGGTGAAGAAGGTGCAGACAAATCAAAAGCCATGCCCTGTGATCTAGCAAGATTCTGGCCCCACATCATGACCATTTGTCCTCCCAGCTATTCCACATCCAGTGGAGATAGCACTTTCATTTTCCTTTTTTTCTGTGGTGAAGGTAATCCCCTATGGGTTTTTTATTATGGCCTGAACTCCCATACAGAAATCACATGGTGTCAAGCATTGTCCCACCTTGTCTGCCTCTCAAAGATCAAGGCTTGTGCTCCACAGACTTGCTTCGAGAAATTTCCTCAAAGCAAACAGGGTTCCACTGCTCACTAGCGATTTTCTACATCTACAGTGTGGTTGGTGCTATCTCCGATCAATTGTGGCTGAGCGCGTCCCGTGTCTGCTTCGGCATTCCTCAAAGTAAACAAGTGAAACAGGATACTCTCCAGCCAAGCATTTACTCCCTAGTCCTGTTCAGTAGTGTCCTATCTTGGCCATCCAGTCCCGTAATGCCCGTGAGATGACGGAGTCGGTGCAGCAAATTTTCGAAATAATCACGAAATTGCTGGGCTGTGGAGCCTTACGCATTATTACAATTTCTGTGCCTTCACATTAAACCACCGGTACGTTTCCGGCTACGAAGTCTGAGCTTCCCACTACCGGTATGCGGAGCCTAAAGCCTTGCTTCTCTCTCTCTCTCTCTCTCTCTCTCTCTCTCTCGCGCGCGCGCGGTATGCCGAGCGTACGCGCCCCGCAGCCCCATATCAATGTGCGAAAATGAAAATGAATCTTCCGCCAAAACGAAGGAAGATCCATTCTCGTCTCTCTCTCTCTCTCTCCCCCCCCTCCCTCCGCGCGAGGATGCCTTTTTTTTCCAGATTACAATATGATGTGTTTTCTTCTTTTTTCCTGTTTGTTTTTGCTTTCGAAAAGGTGGCAGTGACCAGGCATTTGTCAAGCGGGGGCCCCAACCTCCCGAATATACCGCTGCGGTATTGATTTCCAAGCGGGGAAAACATACTGGTGGTTTAAGCGGAACACTCTGGACTCGGGAAAAAAAAAAAAAAAAAAAAAAAAGCAACAAAGTTAGGGAAATTCCCCGAAGTAAGTCAGCGGAGCACAAGCCTAAGAATGATGTCAGGCAGTGCACACATAAAATTTGGTAACTTGAAATAGGAAAGAGAACTCAGCTCTGGGCTTTGGACCATAATTTCGCTTTTGGGAAACGACCCGGAATTATCCATTTTCAAAAGAAAAAGACTAAGAAGGAATACGAAAGGTCAAGGCCTTGGACGCTAAAAATAACTACTTTGAAAAGCACGAGTGGGTGGGTTGCTTCACATATGGAAATAATAGCCTAGCTAGCTGGCTTTACTGGAAAGTAGCCCAATGACTTCAATCAATACTAGGTTTGAACTTTGAACAAAAGATCCTGAACCTTTGTTGGGCTTGAAAAAGAACAATCTGCTCCTATTGGTATCAATGAGAGGTTCATCATCTTCTTGCTTGGTGTCTATTGTGATCAGACAGACTGTTCTGAGAGGTGAATAAGGAAGAGCGAAAAAAAAAAAAAAAAAAAAAAAAAAAAAAAAGGAAGAGCACTTGCAGCTCAGACTTCAAAGTGCCTGATTGTGCCCCTCAGACATCCGTTAAACCACCAGTACTTCCTAAAGTCGTGCCCGTTAACGCAACGCGATTTTAGGAAACGTACGGGCCACTACAGGAGAGCCCAAATTCATCCAACTAGAAACGTTTCTACTCTATCTTTTTCCGCGGCCGATAGCTGGGCCAAGTACTGGTGGTTTAAGACTGAAATGATATAGAGAAGATTAGCATGCCCCCTGCACAAGAATAACACACACAAATCAAGAAATGGTCCAAGCAGACGGCTCTCTATCTCGAGAGGGGCATCAGCCTCCACGTCAGAGGTGCCTTCATGTTACATCCAGAACTGGTACATGTACCTGGCATGATAACGAGAGGCATAAGAATTGGTATACGGATCTCGATATGAGAACGAGTGAGGTTGATGGTTCAAGAGAAGAACCCAATATTCTTTCTCATTGCCAAAGAACGATGTGTCTCTTGTCGTTGGGGTTAGATCCATATAGTGTGCAATGAGAAAGGAGCTCTCATCTCAGTTTATGGGCCTCCCTCCACTACTCACCAAATGTGCAAAATGAGGATGAATCTTCCTTTAGAACATGGAAAGATACACCGCCATATTTTTTGGTCTTTTGTGCATGTGGTGAGTAGTGGAGCGAGGCCCTATGTCAACAGCAAGTCTGAAAGCACCATGCAAATGATCGAAACTGGAACGTGTTATTGGCACAACGCACCTACCTTCTTCCCCCGAATACAACGTACGGTCATTATAGTTGTATTGCGGTATCTTTCAGTCTAAATACAGCTATAATGACCGTACAATGCGTACATTGTATTCAGGGGAAGGAGCTCAGTTGGTAAACCCAAGAACTGTTGGAATACAGACCCAAGTTCGAATCCAGATACAATCAGATGGCCAGAAAAAAATCATTCTGACTTAGCTCGTGCCGGTCAGTTCACTGATGATATCTCAAGACCGTAGACCTTGTTAAAAAAAAAAAAAGGTTAGTGGTGTACTGACAGTTCCGGCAAATTTTGCACTTACCACCTTATCATCAACCTTATCCTGTGCTTCTGCTTCATCAGACTTCCGCTCTCTGTGCATTGGCGGCAAAAGTGGTGGCTTCACTTGTTTTTTGGCAAGCGCATTCCAATCCAATCCAGCAAACCATGGATGCTCCTTTATGTCATTTGCTCCTCCCTGACAACATAATAACAGCCAGCAGAAGCAGCAACGCACGTCATCATCATCATCATAATCGGCCAATGTCATCACCGTCATCAACATCCAAGTTCTCGCAGCATTCATACCTTTTTTTTTTTTTTTTGTGAACAGGGGTCAAGACTACTATGGGAAGTGATATGAGCATCTTCCCCTAAGTACCCCCTGTCCTCAGTGCTCCAGTCTATTGTTGTTGAGTGTCACGTGGGTCAAGACTACTATGGGAGGTGATACGAGCATCTTCCCCTTATTACCCCCTGTCCCCGGTGCTCCAGCCTATCGGTGGGGAGCGTCACCTGCTGGAAACTGGGTCCAGCGTCCAGCATTTCTGACACGGATGTACTGGGGCGATTACCTGGCTTCGGCTTCTACTCTCTCTCTCTCTATATATATATACATATATATATCGTCAAATAGAACTGCCCGGTAAACCGTAGGCAGAGAGGGAGAAGAGGACAACAAACGAGGGGCTGTGACAAACTGTTTCGTCGGAGTTTCACCGACTCATCAGGAGGCTGAACCCGTATACATATATAT